CTTTTTGGTAAGTTTATTTATGCTACCTTATGTTGTTGTGATGTTTAATTTCTCCCTTGGAGGCGAACCAGCCCAAGGCTGAAAGCCTCCTTAATAAAGCTAAATAATAATAATAATTTCTCCCATTTGACTTTCAGATATTGAGATCGCTGCTAGCAACTTGGAGCTGGATTTTTCCATGGAAAAATCGATGTCCTTGTGAGTACCCTAATAAAAACAACCATAAGAAAGAGCTTAACGACGTGTTCAGAGTATTATCCAAACTATTTGTGGAATTTATGTTAAAGTTACGTTAAAGTTAAAGTTCTGTTAGAGTTAAAGTTATGTTAAAGTAAAAGTTATGTTAAAGTTAAAGTTATGTTAAAGTTAAAGTTATAGTTATAGTTATGTTAAAGTTAAGTTAATATTAAGTTAAATTTAGGTTAAAGTCTAGTTTAAGTTAAGTTATAGTTAAATTATAGGTATTTTAAACTAATGTTAAAGTTAAGTTAAAGCTATGTTAAAGTTAAAGTTACGTTAAAGTTAAGTTAAAATTAAGTTAAAGTAGAGAGGGTCTAGTATAAGAGAGGAGCGGATTCAAAACAAACTGCATCGCTCAGAATAGAGTGCTGAGGATGGTTCTTGATCGTCCTTTCGACACTAGAATAACAAATTTACACGAAGAGGCAGGCATTGCCAAAATAGATTCCAGAATTAACGAAATTAAGACTAAATTTGCACAAAAACGTAATTTATCAGAACATGCTTTGATAAGAAATTTGTATACAGTAGATTAGGTGTATATAGTAGTTGTAGGTTCGTTATAGTTGTAAATAGTAGTTATAAGGGGCTGTTCATAAACTACGTAGACAGTTTTTTTGAATTCTTGAAGCCCTCTACCCCTGCGTAGACAATTGTCCATACATTTTTTTTTAATTTGTATGGACCGTGGATAATTGTCTACGTAGTTTATGAACAGCCCCTAAGTAGTCTCCTTTTTCAAATTTAAAACAAACCAATCCTACCAAGGTGGTCATTCTTAAAACAGGCCTGATAGGACTAGGAACTGTAATTAATAATAATTGAAATTTCAAAGGAATTAAAGCTGAAAAGACGCGTCTGTGTCACTTGATAAGTAATACATGTAAACCACACAAATTCAAGAAATATAGAACATTTAAAGTAAAAAAAACCAAAAAAAAACTGCATTGGCAACCTGATTTCTAGCAACAACCTGATTTCAAGCAACACTGTCAACGCAATGCAAATAGGCGCTGCTCGATTGGCTCTTGCTTTGAAAGTTCGTTTGGCTCAAAACCAGCCAGTCCGATCCTCTGTTAGTAGACCCTTTCTAGTTAAATTAAAAGTAAAGTTCTGTTGAAATTCAGTTAATGTTAAAGTTATGTTAAATTTATGTTACATTTATGTTAAAATTACGTGACAGGTATGTTAAAGTTGAGTTAAAGTTATGCTAAAGCTAAAGTTATACCATAGCTATGTTAAAATTATGTTAAAGTTATGTTATAGTTAAGTTACAGTTAAATTAAAGTTATGTTAAAGTTTGATTAAGTTAAAGTTATGTTAAAGTAAAGGTAACGTTATGTTAAAATTAAGTTAAAGTTATCTTAAAGTCAACGTTAAATTAAAGTTATGTTAAAGTAAAGGTAAAGTTATGTTAAAGTTAAGGTTAAGATAAAGTTAAGTTAAAAGTAAGTCAAAGTTATGTTAAAGTTAAGGTTCAATTTACTTTGATGCTTTTGGAAAAATTTCAAAAGCAGTTTTTTTCCGACGCATTATTTCAGATTGCAAAAAGCTCGCACTATTCGATTCTTTTTGATATTTTACACAAAATGACGCGAGCCTTTTGCAATCTAGAATAATGCGTCGAAAAAAACTGCTTTTGAATTTTTAAAAAATGCATCAAAGTAAATTGAACCTTAAAGTAATGTTTAAGTTAAAGTTATGTTAAAATTAAAGTTATGTTAAAGTTAAGTTAAAATAATGTTAAAATTAAAGTTATATTAAAGTTAAGTTAAATTAAGTCGAAAATATGTTAAATTTATGTTACAATAATTTTAAAGGTAAGTTTAACTTATGTTAAAGTTAACGTTAAGTTAAAGTAAAGATAAAGTTACGATAATGTTAAGTTAAAGTTAAAGTTATTTTAAATTTAAGTTAAACTTATGTTAAAATTAAGTGACAGTTATGTTAAAGTTAAGTTTAAGATAAATTAAAGTTATGTCAGTTAAATAAGTATCAAAGCTGTGTTAAAATTAAGTTAAAATTATGTTAAAGGAAAGTTACAGTTAAAGTTATGTTAAAGTTAAGTTAAAGTTAAGTTAAAGTTAAGTTAAAGTTATGTTAAAGTCAAATTTGAGTTAAAATTATGTTAAAGTAAAGGTTAAGTTATGTTAAATTTAAAGCTTTAATAAAGTTAAGTTAACAGTTAGTTAAAGTTAATGTTAAGTTATGTTAAAGTTAAAGTTAAGGTAAAAGTAACTTAAAGTTTTATTACAGTGAAGTTCAAGTTAAGTTAAAGTAATGTTACAGTTAAAGTTAAAGTTATGTTAAAGTTAAAGGTAAGTTAAAGCGAGGGGGGACGACTCTATCTACGATTCAGGAAAGATTGTGTTTTGCCGTGGCTAGCTGCGCGCTGAGTCGATAGAAAGAAGATTGATGATGATTCTGAAGATTTCCTGCAAAAAGATGATGCGCGATGCAAGTAGATGCGAGAAATGACTAATGATTTTTCGAAGATTGATTCGCTAGTGTGAGATTTTTTGAGCATCTATAATTAAGATTTATATGTGTCGTCCCCCTCGAGTTCAAGCTAAGTTGTTGCTAATTTTAGTACTGAAGTACATAATTTCGGGCATGCCCAAGATTGTCAATCAGTATCTGGCTACAATTCTGCCTCCGCTTTGGCAATTTCTGACCCAGATGGCAGATATCTACATCAAGATGATCGTAAATGAAATAGAGAAGAATCCTTTTGTTAGTAATTCCGAAGGTTTTTTTTTCTTGATTTGATTTCCATCGATCTTGTTTTCCGTGCTGAGCACCAATGCTACCGACGCCCGGGAGGCAGCTCCCACACCTGGACCCTACCTATCGACCCATCAATTCATGAACCGGGGACCAACGACTGAAGGAAGGCGTGATCAGAGATATTATGCCTCAGAACATCCCGACGGCGTCGACTGGGATTGAACCCAGGCCTGCTGGGTGAGAGGTAATCACGCTTACCACTACACCACCGGCGCCGCTACCCGTAGGTTTGTGTAACTGTATTTCGTGTGCAAACAGAGTTTCTCTTTGTATCCCCAAGGCCAAAGACGTTCCCAGGAATTTTCAGCACACAGATCGGTAAAAGTAGGTTTTATCTAGCATCTAATACGATAAACACAACAAGAAACGGTTATGTGCTCAAGTTGTTAACCAAAGACAAAGTCGACGACGAGAATCAATCAATGTTATTTAGGACCTATTGCAATATTCAGCTTGAGTTCAAGTGAAGTGAAATCGATCAGTTTACATTTCCGGTGAAGTAGAAATCTGACAGATACGCTCTGTATCGAAACTTTAACTTTTAGCTTCGTTGCTGTGCTTTTCGCGAGCAGCTGCATGCGTTTACAAAGTAAACGTAAGCGAAAAAGATGAGATTTGAATTCTAATATGCGAGATTAAAATTTAATCTTCTTAATCATTATGTACTGGTTATAATACTTCAAAATATGTTGCTACGATAATGAAAAACTGGATAAAACTGGCTGATTTTACACTTTATCTGTTTGACTGGATGCGTCACAAAAAAAACTGGAAGAATCCAACGGAATGTTGGCATCACGCCACACGTACATATCAATATATTGACACGAAGGGGAATAATTCTAGATAGAGCTGGAATTAGCGCGTGACAGCCTTTGTAAACAATGACTTCTCTCGTTGATTTCTAGTCGATTTGCCAGTGAGAGTCATAACTTTCATTGTCATTGTTACAAAAGCTGTTACGCCCTAATTCCAGCTCTATCTAGAATTGACGATAATTTTGATGATGCGAATACAGAAATATGGTCAATATCGATGTATTGACGTCAGCATAGAATGTATTGTCAATGCCATTACTGTCAATAAATGCAATCGTGTAGGGTCCCCTTAAGTGAAGACTACGATTTGCATCCATCTCTGCAATGAAAGCGCTATTTATGTCCCTCTTCGGTGATATTGCCATATCTGGAAACCACTGGAAGTGAATCCTATTCTAATGGAAGAAGCTTATTGAATGGTGGAAGATAAAGTGTTTTTTGCATTGTACCTCTTGACTATAGTTTTAGGAATTATTGTACTCATTTTAGTGTATACTGAACAAGAAATCTCGGCACTGTAAATATCATTCGATCGTGCCTAAAGTAATTAATAAAAAAAATAACTCTGTAATCTAAGCAATGCATTAAACATTCAACTCACGAAATTTCTTGCAATGGCTTGAAAACATTTGGAGCATGTTTTACTATTTATATTTTTTCGCAAATTTCTCCTATAAATATATTACATACAACAAACTGTGTCTGGCGGAATTTGGGACCAACTGATCATTATTTCACTCAAATATTTCGGATCGATCTAGCCAAAAGCAATTTTGTTCTTATTATTATTCTGCGCCCATTCTGTGAGTCGTGGGGCATGATGCGACTAATGTTATTTAAATGGTGACGTAACTCATCCAGAATTTGCAATGTCATTATACATACTGTTCAATGTAAGTCCGATAGAGTGAAATCATTTCACGACCTACGCAGTGATTCGCACAATTTTTATCTTTAAAGCACTCAAAAGCCGAACCAAAATCCTCAATTAACCATAATCCATTTACTTTTGTTTTGCTCATCCATTCAGCGGTGTCCACGCCGCGCAGCGCAGCTCCTCCACATTTCGCGAGTAAACAATACCTCTCCATTCGCGAGTATTGGTACGAGAGAATATTATCTGTAATTCTGCCTCCCATTTGTATGCCGGTCACTACGATCACTTCAGTTCCAGTTTGATTCCGTCGCGAGGCAGTCACGTTGATTGTCGCTGTGTATTTAAGTGACCTTGGTTAAAATTTCAACGCCACAGAATGATAGCTCTTCTGCTGCTATCGGTGATTGTCGTAGCTTTGCTATGGGTTTTGACCACTACTGCAAAGAATATTCTGACAGTTCGGGAGCTTCAACGCAAGCTGCCAAACTTCCAGACCGTCCCATCGGTTGCTGTGTTGGGCAACTCGCACCTCTACCGAAAGGATCCAACCCCGCCGGGAATCTTTGCCACCTTTACCCGCTTCCATCGGCTCTACGGTAACGATCTAATCTCGCAAGGTTTATTCAACCAACCCAATCTTGCGGTCACCAGTGCCAAAGTAGTCGAACAGGTGCTCCAAGCGAAAACGATTAAAAAATCCATTATCTACGAATTCATGAAGCCCTGGCTCAATGAGGGATTGGTAACATCACTTGGTAAAAAGTGGGCTCAACGAAGACGAATCATTACTCCAGCGTTTCACTTTAAAATCTTGGAGGAATTTTTAGTGATATTCAACCAACGAACCGAGGTGTTTACTGATAAACTTAAGGGACAGGTGGGCAAAGGGGATTTCAACATCTACGAGTATGTGACACTTTGCACGTTGGATATCATCTCGGAATCTGCCATGGGAGTTAAGCTTAACGCTCAGGATGACCCGGATTCATCGTACGTGAAAGCTGTTAAGAAGTGAGTGGTACATTAAATCGTGTTTTACAATCATGCATCTACACTAAAACTTTAACTTTATGATTTTTTTCAGAATGTCCGAAATTATCTTCCGTCGACTGTTCAGTCTTTCGCGAGAGTACAAAATTGCATTTTGGTTGAGCAAAGCAGCAGAACATCAGAGGGCAGCTCTTGAAGTTTTGCATAATTTTACCGATTCGGTCATTCTTCAACGGAAAGCACAACTTGACGACGAGCAATCTAGGAAAGAAACCCTGCAGAAGCTGGAAGAGTCTGACATCTACGGAAAACGGAAGATGACCCTATTGGATCTACTGCTGAATGTATCCGTTGAAGGGCATGCCTTAAGCAACTCGGATATTCGCGAGGAAGTGGACACTTTCATGTTTGCTGGGCACGATACCACTACGTCTTGCATTAGTTTCTCAGCTTATCATATCGCTCAGAATCCATCAGTTCAGCAAAAACTGTACGACGAGATGGTTCAGGTAATCGGTAAGGATTTCAAAAACGCCGAACTGACCTACAGCGTGCTGCAAGAGCTGAAATATTTGGATATGACTATCAAGGAAGTGCTCCGGATGAATCCGTCGGTTCCGATCATCGGTAGGAAATCAGCCGGCGATATGGTGATCGATGGCCAGTCCATTCCAGCCGGTGTCGACATAGCGGTTCTGATCTACGCAATTCATAACAATCCGGAGGTTTTCCCCGATCCGGAAAAGTTCGATCCGGAACGGTTCAATGAAGAAAACAGCAGCAAGCGACATCCCTACAGCTACATCCCTTTCAGTGCGGGAGCGAGAAATTGCATCGGACAGAAGTATGCCTTGTTTGAGATCAAAGCTACACTGGTAAAGCTGCTGGGAAATTATCAGCTACTGGCATGCGATCCGGAAAACCAGGTTAAGATCAAGTCCGACATGACGTTGCGCCCGGTGAATGGAACGTTTGTGAAGATTGTGTCACGATGAAGGGTTTGAACAAATAAAGATTCGGTACGATTAGCAATAGCAATAGCAATTATATTTTCATTTTACTTTTCGTTATAAGTTGACGGTTAGTTTTGAAATCTTTTTAAATTTTAATTTTTAAACCCAACACAGTATTTATTTATTTATTTATTTATTATTATTATAGTCCATCTGACTTGATAGTCTCAATGAAACACTTAAATCTAAATGTAGTCACTCATTAAAAATTAAAAATTGGCCAACAGCAAACGATGACGAAACATCGAGGCATTGATGTCAAAGTCAAATAGGTCAGAGGCTTCGTTGAATTGATGAATCATGGCGACAAAGGAACTGTTTGCAGCATAGTTGGTTGGATGTACTACTTCATGTAGCAAGGTTCTCGGACGGAGTGTTCGGGCAGGAGCATACAGATTAATTTTGGCCAGTAACTCAGGAACATCATATTCTGCGAGTAAAACTTTAGCAACGAAGACGACCTGCGATATGTTTCGTCGCTTAGCAAGAGTATCCAAACCCAGTAAACGACAGCGGTCAGCATACGGTGGTGAATTCAGCGGGTCACTCCATGGAAGATAGCGCAGTGCGTATCTGACGAATTTGCGTTGAACAGCTTCGAATCGTCCACTCCATACAGCTTGGTAGGGATTCCAGACTACACTCGCGAATTCCAGTAGTGAGCGTACCAATGAACAGTAAAGGGCTTTAAAACACAGAGGATCACGAAATTCCTTAGATATCTTGAACATGAATTCAAGCTGTCGATTAGCTTTGTCGATCGTGGTTGAGAAGTGGCGAGTGTATGTGAGCTTTTCATCCAACATGACACCGAGGTCTTTAACGTGATCGACACGTTGAACTGCAGTTCCAGCAACGTTATAATCAAACAAAATGGCAGTCCTAGTTCGACGGAAACTAATTACGCAGCACTTTGAGACGCACAGGACCATAAAATTACGTTCACACCAATCATTAAAGATTTCAAGAAGGTTAGAACTACAAAACCTTCTTGAAATCTTTAATGATTGGTGTGAACGTAATTTTATGGTCCTGTGCGTCTCAAAGTGCTGCGTAATTAGTAACAGTCGGCATAGCCTCGCACGACTAGATAAATCTTCAAGTCATCGGCAAAAAACAATTAACCTCCTCGTAGTAGAATAAACGTTACATCGTTCACAAATAAAGAGAAGAGCATTGGTCCCAAAGTGCTACCCTGTGGAACTCCTGATCTGTTCGAGAAACAGTACGATGAGTAGTTTCCAATGCATACAGCAACTTCACGTTGCACGAGGTACGATCTAAGCCAGCTGCAGAAGGAAACAGAACATCCAATTTTTTCAAGCTTTGCTAGCAGAACGTCGTGCACAACTCTATCAAACGCAGCTTTAAGATCAGTGTAGATGGCATCCACTTGAAGTTTCTTGCATACATTTTCCATACAGAACGACGTAAAGCTGACGAGATTAGTTTCCACGGAGCGGCCAGGAAAGAAACCATGTTGACATGTACTTATGTAATGCTTGCAGGAAGCAAACAATCTCTCATTTATCAGCGACTCAAACACCTTAGATTCAACCCCAAGCGAGGTAATCCCACGGTAGTTTTCCACATTGCGTTTGTCTCCTTTCTTGAAAACAGGGAACATAGTAGACCGTTTCCATAGTGCGGGAAATTTCTGTTGACGAAGTGACAGGTTGAAGAGCAAGGACAACGGAGCAGCTAAGATATCGGAGCATTTTTTAGGACTGCAGATGGAATAACACTCGGACCTGGTGAAAATGATGATTTGGTTTTACTCATCAAAGAGAGAACCATTTGTACATCTACGGCAAAAACATCCATGTTTACGACGTCGGTTGGCACATCACGGACGGCTCGCTCAATTTCTGCTTGCGATGAGGAGTCATTCGAGAAGACGCTTAAGAAGTGCCTAGCAAATAGGCTGCATTTGTCCTCAGTTGTCAATGCTACGTCATTGCCGAGAAACATTTTTGACGGCAGTCCAGTTTCCTTCCTCTTAGTATTCACAAACGACCAGAATCCCTTGGGGTGGCATTGCAGATTATGTTGAGTACGAATTACATACCTCTTGTAAAGAAGCTTGTTGTAGTGGCGATAATCATTGCTGGCAATTGAAAAATTTCGCTTGGTAAGGGTACATCGTCGATGAGTGAGAGCACGGAGAGCTCTAGATCGCACTCGTTTCAGGTTGCGGAGAGTAGCGTTAGACCAAGGCGGTTTTCTTGGAGGTTGGCACTTCGGTACTGAAGCACAAACACAGTCGCGTAAAAGGCTATTATATCGAGCGGCTGCTGTATCGATATCAAGGTCATTCAACACGTTCCAGTTGATCCGGGACAAGGAACGTCTCAGCAAACGGAAATCGGTCTTCCGGAAATTGAGCCGAGTGGCAGTCATGGTTTCATCAAAACGAATTTGAGATCCGTTCGCGATAGATATATCCAAAGCAGGGTGGAAATTGTCAAGAGGAACGATGACATCAGGCGCTTCAACGACGACACAGTCCAGAAGTGCACTTTCGCTAACAAAAACCAAGTCAAGAAAACGAGACTGGAAATTGGGAACAAGGTTTATCTGGCTCAGTCCATGAAAAGCCGTGCCGTCAACAAGCAAGCGGCTGGCAGGAGTAGTTGAAGATGCAATCGGATCTGGAAACGCATAACCCGGGCCTGAGGGTGACCAGCTAAGCCCAGGCTGATTAAAATCACCAAGCAGAAGAAGCACATCCGTTATATCAGCCATGGACGATGCAAATTCTGTAGCATCCAGATGAAGCTGCATTGTGGTGCAGTCATGTCGACGTTCAGGGGGAATATACACCGCTCCAATGAGGATGTCCCGCGAAGTGAGGCTGACCTTAACCCAAACCGCTTCAATTGTAGTAAATAGTTCGTTGGAGATTACGCAGGAGGCGAATTCGTTGGAAACAGCGATGAGCACACCACCACCGCGAGTACGAATGCTGTTGGATGAATTACGGTCTAATCTGTAGACAGTAAAAGAGTCACCAAACAGTTGCAGTGAATTGATCCTCCCATCGAGCCAAGTTTCCGTGAATACATAAACGTCATATTCCCCGTCAAGCGCAGCCAGATAAACATCGTCCAATTTAGTCATGATCCCATTGCTGTGATTGTAACTAAAAATGGACGGCTTTCTTGCGATTACCCCCAATGCTGTTATTTTGAAGATGAGGCAGTACAAATCTTGAAAGATTATCAAAAATATATATTCCAATGAACGACTCCTTTTATGAGATGTTGCTGACGGCATGGTGCATACCATCCTATAGTGTCACTTGAAAAACAAACTCGCAAGGCCATATAGGGTAGATGTACCATTTATGGCTATACGTTCCTATCATGGTATGTTCCAATTATGGCCTATGGGAATTGCATAGGCCATAATTGAAACTTGGAACACAGCATAATAGGAACGTATAGCCATAACTGGTACACCTACGCACTTTCAAATGCCTTAGCTCGACGAGAGCTTGGTTACGTAGGGCTGGTAGTGAGTATGTGATTTAATAGTAGTGACTTTAGTGACTAAAATAACGAAAATAGATACCAAATAGTAACCTTTAAACAATAAAAAAGTGACCAATAGTGACATTTATTGATCAGAAAGATATGGTTTCAATCTACCATTGATTGCCACTCCGAGAAATTTTATAAACTCACAAACCCATCATGCGCATTTTTCATGTTTCAAAAAAATAAAATAAACGGTTTAAGGATCCCACTGTCCTCAAAAAATAAGTATGAATTGAATAAGCAATTTTTGAAACAAACTATTTACTAATTTGATATTAGATCCAAAGCACACATTGATGATTAGATCGCAAAATTGAGGCACCGAGAAAAAGGTTTAAATTCAAAGATTTTGACAAATTTTGACAATTTTAGGACATTCAATTTTAAATACCTATCTAGGATATTGATGAAGCGATGCGAAAAAAGATTAGTTTTTTATTTTTAAAAAAATATAAAAGGGTCTGTGCCTAGGGGCACGAACGGATGCTTGACGTAGGACCGCCAGTGGACGGAATAAATGTGAAGCGCATTTAGCTCTTTTAATTGATCAATTATCTATTATCTCAACTCTTTCCGTTTTTGAATTTAGGCGTACCAAATTTGTAGTAATCTTTTTCAAAGAGAAAGTTGATTAAGAGAATCAATCAAAATCACTTGCACCCAAGTTTTGTTACAAGATTACAACTCTGGAGAGCATTTTGTGTGGTCGTTGAGGGCTTGTGGTTCTGAATATGGACAAACAAGCACAGGTAAATTCTATTCCAACTCTTTACTGATGTAAGCTTGATGGCCCTGAAAAGGGCCGTTTTATTGAAGAGGACATCCATGGCCACTTACGCTTGGCGTGTTTAGTGTAGGTGACAGCATCACGGACCTCATTTTCCAGGAACACCTTCAGCACACCTCGTAGATCAGACCGGAGATACGTTTGACACCACCACGGCGAGCCAGACGACCGATGGTAGTTATCTCGAAGAATTTGCGTTTGGTTCTTAATATGGCGATGAGTGTGCAAAATAGTACGCAATTCCATCCTACCTATTCGCACGCGCCCGAGGATCGGAGGCGAATGCCACTTCGACTTGTTTCGTCTACTTACTACTCTCTGACGACTGTGCTGGGGAAACAGCATATGCATGTAGGTAATTGGTGGATTTGTTAGTGAATTCGACGCTTTTGGACAATGCTGGACATTTACCAGTTTTTCAATAGTTTCTTGTTGAAAATAAACATTTGAAAGCATTTTTATCGATGCGCAGCCATATTTCTGATCGATTGGTGATAAAATTATTGAAATTGGACCAGGTGCAGCTGAGTTATTAACGTTCAAAATCTTTCTTAATTTGTTACATGTTTAATTTTCGGTTTTCACAAAGTGTACCCCCATATAGAAATCAAAGACGTAGTCCTACATCAAAAAATTCGTTCTCCTCTTTGTAGCCGCTATACCGCACTGGTCGTCTCCATTCCTTCCAAGAAGAGAATCTTCTG